TCTTAACATTAAACTGCACGTGATGTTTATTATGAACCTTCTACAAAATCTCTATTTATGCAAAAGATTTATAATACTTTCAATGAAAAAAACGACATCTAAGCATGGGGGCGGCCCATTTTGTTCAAGTATGCCTGGCTTTCCTGGCTGAACATTGAACCCAAAGTGTTCCAAGCTTCCTTTTGATCAGCAGTCAAATTGGCCCCTTTGCTCTGCAGATATCCCTGCCAGAAAGTAGAGAAGAAAATCTGAAATGTTGCGGTTAGAAAATTAAGTGAAGATTATTCTGCATATAGATTTCAGGGCTTGCGGCTGGGACTTACATTCCACAAAGCAGGATCAATATTCCTTTCAAAATGCTCAAGCATAACTCTGCGGGTAAAAGCGCGGAACACGGGTTCCTAAAAAGAAAAAAGGTGTTTTATGGAAAAGTGAGACGGCTAGGTAGACACTTACATTGTCATAAGTGTTGCTCAAAACATGGACAAATAGAAGAATGGCGTCTCCAAGCTTATCGAATCTGTAAGAATAACCCTTAACGCCAACTAAATCCTCTCTTATTTTATGCAATCAAACCTCTCGCTTTTCATAATTTCGTCACCGCTAATATTCTCAGCTCCTTTGTAGAATCGGCGGTGTTCGGGATAAGTAGTGAGGAAGCTGAAAGTCTAGACTTCAGCTCTCTAATAGGGCTCAAACAAGTTCTGTCACTAACAATTTGTAGAAGTCCCTTCCATGATGCCCATCGCCTACTGGTGCCACCCTCAGCGAAGCGACAACGTTCCTCTTCACATCTGCTGCAGACCTACAATAGAACTACATGCTGTAAGTAGTTAACGAATTTTGCTAGTGTGAATGGGTAAATAATTTAAATGACCAAACACTTTGCTTATAACATCTTTATGTTAGGGAAAGGCCTAATAAAGCCCAATTTAGTGCAATCAATCATGATTTTCACATAGTCACACAATTCAAGGTACTCACATGCAGTATGTGGCAGAGAAGCATGCTGCAATTAGATAGTTTGATTGTAAAAATCTCAAACTGTTCATTGTAGCTAACTCACCAAGAAGAATTACCCAGAAAGGCGTCATGACGTAGGTTTTCTGCAAGGTTTACACATAAAGTCTTACGCATTTAACTCTTGCAATTTTACCATAAAGCTCAACATTTTTTTCTCAGCATGGATTTGAGATCTATTGTGAAAAGCAAGCTTTTCTCCTTTTTCAGGTCGATCAATTTTCATTGAGCGCATTAAGAATACAAAAGAATCATTACAATTATAAAACGCTTTGAGCAAAAGAGTTGAGTATTATTGTCCTTTGTAGAAAATTCAAATAAAATATTTTATTTAGTAAAGGGGAGTTACTCGAAAATGCTTCAGAAGAAATGAGAGTTGGCTGAGGGCTGGATGCCGTGTCTTTACCACAGTTCCTATTTATACAAGCAACCGAGTTCATTTGTTAGCAATCCGCTACAGAAAAATGCAAATTAAAAAGTGTATGTGTGAAAAAAAATGGTTTGCAGTAGTCTGCGGAGTAATGCAAACCTCGGTACATGATTATCTCTACGTTACTGCGGGCGTATATTGTAAACAGACAAATGCCATCTTCAAAAATTAAAATTCTTTTTCGGTTCGCAGCAGCTTTATAAATCACATTAAATGTGGATGAAGCTTGCAGCAGTGGAGAAAGAGCCTGTTTAAGTTACCCGTTTAACTATATTACTTTTTGCTTGGCATGACTTAAAAGAGATAAAAATGAATAAATAGATTACACTTTTACCTTGAGTCAGCAGGTGATTTACAATTGGAAATAAATGTTTAGATACCTAACGCGAGCTAATGTCCACTTTTGGGCGACCCGTAAAACAGCACAAGTGATATAATTCTCTACTATTTATCGTCTAATCCTCAATCACTGTTAATCTACTACTCCTACAAGTCCCTTCAGCCACTTCTTGGTTTTGTTCTCTTCTTTAAAGTGATTGGGCAGGCTCTTGATTTCTAATTGCTTAAAGTTTTTTTTTCGTTTTATCACAGTCAGATTGCACTGAATAAATAAATCAATAAATTAAGGATAAACTTAATGTATCAATCAATTGCGCACCATGCGTGCTCCGAAAACAGCATTGTAGAGGTCTCTAAACAATTTCTGGACACCCTCACAATTTCTTAACGATTAGCAGTGTCTGCTTTATCATTTTGAGAGCTGTTGTGACCCAGCCCTGGAGAGGCTACTAATTCGTTACTAAGGCTTTAAACACTGATAAGGACCATCGTGGGGGCAATGTTTCCTGGTTTGCTGCCATTTAAGGCAGAGATGTGGAGAATAGAAGTGAGTTCAAAGGAAAAACACTTTATTACATGAAATGGAATATGATATTCTTATGTACATACTGTTTATTGTCTATTATATAATAACATGATAAGAGTTTTGGGATGGTATGGATGGCATCTTACTACGGCGGTGGAATATGAATGCTACTTTACAATAGTTATTAGATGGAGAAAACTAAAGTTACTTAACCGCTAAACTTCGCAAAATCTTGTAACTTTCTGTAGCATCTTCTAAAAGTCTTTTCCAAGCCATA